TTTCAAAGTACATTTCTCATTTTTGCGGACAGGAGAAACACAGCTGTGACAAATTATCTTATCTCGGATAATTTTTCTAACGCGCGAATATAGTATTAGGTTGGGTATATTCAGGAAGAATATGTTAATATAACGCGGTTTTCCGCTCTAAAAACTTTCGCACCAGCAGTTTTCTCAAATTTCTTTCTGTCTTAAATGTCCGACGTCTGGTCGTCCCCTTCGACATCGCCATTCGATTATTTCAATTTCTTGATGGAACCTCTTAGGTCTTAATATAATCCCCACGGTTTTCCGGAAAACATTTCAACCCGAGAACAAGAACATGCATCATTAAACACCTCGTTTCCTTAAAACTGTCAATCATCAGAGTGTCCCTTTTTCATTATGAATTTTCAAGTCTCCCGATATTATCCAGTACTCTTTTCTCAGCCTTCTTTTGTTACAGTAGATATGCAGCCCAGCTCAAACAGTGACAGAAGCCCAATAATAGGCTATATGGAAGGCTACTCGTCGCAGGGACCTATTGAGTTTTGAAGATTAGATGGCGAACAGAAAAAAAGGTTTTAGTGGCGGTCTATAGATTGTCAAAAGTGCGGAAAAAATGGTTTTACAGAAATACTCAATACTTTGCAACAAAACGCCTATATTAGTTTAAAGCATGCAGAATCTTGTCGACGTATTCAGGAGTGTATTTAGCTACGCGGTCGTCCAACACGTTATTAATTTTTTTCTTATTACTTGTCAACAAAATCTTGTGAAAATGTTATCGTTTCATTCTTGATGTAAGACTACATCGTTGAAAAAATTCAGGTTGAAGAAATCGTTTCTTCTGGGCGTAACACTTGTTATGTCACTGAGTATATATATATATATATATTTAAATGGACCAAACAGATGGATAACATGAAGTATTATTTACAATTGAAAACACCCGGGTTTCCAAAAAAATACTTGATGTCCTGGTATCAAAAAAATCTATGTACGCGAAAACTCTCTATCCCCAATAGGATTTTTTATATACTTTCTAACTATTTTTCACATCGCTCTGTAAATTTTGCTCAGTGAAAGATGATCCACAATGTCGTAGATTCTGGCACTCGTCACATTTTGGTCGGCCTCAAGACGCGCCATTCACAGTACGTTACGATCTTGTCAACTTCAGAACGTAAACAATTTTATTTGATTTTCTGAAGTGATAAAAGGATGAATGGTGGCGTAGAAGGAAACAGTTTATTTATATTGACAGTTTATATAGTTGCAGACGATGTAGTGTATATTGCTCCCAAGAGGATCTTCCGGGATTTCAGCAATAAGCATGCTTATTTATGAAAGGACATAACAATGATGATAACAGAAATGGATGTATATACAGGGTGGCGCATCGAAAACGAAACAGACGCATTTAGTGGCAGCTCAGCTTTTTTAAAACGCTCAGACCCGTCGATTTTGTTTTCGAGGGGGACGCAAGTTTGGCCCCTAAGCGGGGGTGACACCACACCCAAAATCTTAAATGGAAAGAGGGGTCGAGTGATACCTTATTTTAAAGGTCTTTCAATTCCCTTTATAATGATATAAAATTAATGTACTTCAGTTCAGTAGTTTTGAAGATTTATTGATTTAGAGCCTAAAATAAAACTAATACATCATGATTAGTGGAGATCAATACATTTGGCAGCAAAGTAATTTAAAAAGGAAGAATGTACTGACCTGTTAGGCAAGTAAATGTTGTTGTTGTTGTTGCCACCATGACTCTCCATGCAATAATAAAGATTTTGCTCAAAACGTTGTAGCACATTTTGCAATATTTGAGGAGTAATTTGAAGGCACTCATTCACAATTCTTTGTCGCAGGTCTTCTAATGATGTTGGCTGAATAGCATAGATTTTGCTTTTTAAATGACCCCACATCAAGAAATCCAAAGGCACCCCTTCTACCAATCCATCGATCTGGAAACGTCTGATCTAAATATTGTCGAACACGTAATGCGTAATCTGGTGGGGCACCATCCTGTTGGAACATCAACCTATTCGCAATGTACCGCCGATCATTCTGATTTTCAATTATGGCTGTTAATGTAGGATCTATGGCGCCTTCCAGTGATTCCAAATACATTTCATCGGTCAAATTTACAGGTAATAAAAAAGGACCAACTAAATGATCGAAAAAAATACCAGCCCAAACATTTAATTTTTGTGGGTGCTGTGTATGAACCTCATGATAAACTCTGGGATTAGAATCGGACCAATATCGGCAGTTATGACAATTTATTACGCCATTTAAGAAAAAGGAGCATTCGTCGGAAAAGCAAGTGTTGAATAGAAAATGATCATCGTTTATAATTCGTTCACTCATATCTTCACAAAATTGTAAACGCCGATCAAAATCGTCTTCATTAAGTTCTTGCACCTGGTGAATTTTATACAGATGAAAACTATGGGCCTTTAGAATCCGTTGGACAGCACGTCGACTAACACCGCACACAGTCTCCAATTTGCGGGTACTTAATGTAGGATCTACATAAACTTGCCCTAAAACCCCCACTTCTATTGCTTCGTTCCTTATGGGATTTTCAATGTTGCGTTTTTTATTGACGACTGACGCAGTTTCCCGAAATTTAGCTACCAGTTCTAGAACATATTTTCGATGCACGTTACTGTTCTCATGTCGCTCACCAAATATTTCTGCTGTTCTATTAGCGCACTGATTTCCGAAAAATATTTCGATAATTTCAACTCTTTCTGCTGTGGAATATATGTACCATAGTTAATTTATGTAATAAAGCGTTACAAGTTATTTTAGCAACAAGGTTTGGTCAAATCAATCGCAAACTATGTACTAAATTCCTATTTAAAATAAGTACGAGATATTTCCTTATCTTTCTTCAAGAAATAACTTTTTTGCCAGAAAAAAACGCTCCAATAGCTATTTTCAACAACAAAATTATAAACAAACCATGGGCGTAATGAAGAAAAGCATTTACTTATTAAATAAGTTCTTTTAGTCAAATTTCTTCTGAAAGTAGTACAAACTAATCTGATGTACCTATTGAAGTCTACTTTAAGCCTTAAATCAATAAATCTCAAAACTACTGAACTGAAGCTCATGTATTTTACATCATTATAAAGGCAATCGAAATACCTTTAAAATAAGGTATCGCTCGACCCCCCTTTCCATTTAACATTTTAGGGTTGGTGTCACCCCCGCCTAGGGGGCTGCACATGCTAAAGTAATTTTTTGCCAAACAAAATCGACCGGTCTGAGCGTTTTTCCAAAAAAAAAACTGAGCTGCCAGTAAATGCGTGTTTCGTTTTCGATGCGCCACCCAATATATTAAGGCACGCGTTTATAGGGTCGCTTCATCCGCAGCATTGGCATTGAAAACATGGTTTCATGCATGATCTGTGCAAAAAGATGACGTCAGGTAGTTTCTCTTACAAACACATATATCAGAGCAATTATATGGATCATGTCAGTCAAATAGGCTCATACAAGGTCTATAAATAGTTCCCACAGATTTGACAATGCTGCGATCTAGCCTACTAAACATAAATTGGGGTTCAATTTTGAAGGGCAAATGTACGGGGAAATCTATGGCGTATGACATACCAGTATCCGTCAAAAAACTGACATATGGTCTTCCCCACCCCTATAACCCACAATATCCAATTTTCAGCCCCTACAAAAGGTTTTCTGGTAATGATCCGGACCGTCTAAAACATCAACAAACGAAGTTGAACGATATTTTTTTTTTCGTTTTTGGCCTTTTTCTTCGCCGTCATTGTACCGACTTTCAAAAAACTACAAAGCTATACGTGTTTCGCAAGGTTGTGTGAATATTTCATCAAAATCTAAGAACTAGCCGCCAGACAGACAGACAGACAATGGAAATGACTGACGTGTTTATTCGTGATGTACAGGGTTTGTCCGGAAAGTAATAGGACTCATTTTGTTCCGCCATGACTGTACATCGGAGCGTGCACGCACCGACTGGATTCGGTAGAGGGCGTTCCTAGCTAACGAATGTGTGGCTGGTCAGTTGTCTCCGAGTACTTGGAGAGTCAGGACAGGCATTTTCGCGCGACGTGTTTCTGTGAGTGGTGTAAGTCGAAAATGCAGCGTTCGTTAGAGCAGAGGTACGCGATTAGATTTTGTGTGAAACTCAGTAAATCTGCGACAGAGACGTTTGATATGATCAAGCAGGCTTACCCAGGTGTTGCGTTAGCAAGAAGTGGTGTGTTTCGGTGGCACCAGGCCTTTTTGGAGGGTCGGGATGAGGTCGCTGATGAAGACCGTACTGAAAAGACCTTCGACTTCGACAAACACCGATAATGTGACTCAAGGTGTTAAACTCAGACCGTCGACTAAGTATTCGTTTAATTGCCCAGATGTTAAATTTACCAAAATCTGTGGTTCATGACATTGTGACACAGCATTTGAACATGCGCAAGGTGTGCGCGAAGATGGTCCCAAAAGTGCTCACTGACGACCCGAAATTGCGGCGAGTGGAAGTGTGCCAAGAAAATTTGAACATGTGTGAAAGTGACCCCCAATTTTTAAATAACGTAATCACAGGTGACGTCGTGGATCTTTGAGTATGATCCCGAGACAAAGAGGCAATCTTCCGAGTGGCACACGACGGCGTCTCCTCGACCAAAAGAGGGAAGAACGATGAGCATTGTCTTTTTTGACATCAAAGAGACGACAGAGGGAATCCAAGCAGCATGCACCGCGGCTCTCAAGGCTATTCCGGAGAATGCCTTCCGTGACGCCTTCAATGCTTGGAAATCGCTGCATCGACGCAGAAGGAGCCTATTTTGAAAGTTTTTAAAGAATTGTAACGATTGGCTCAATATTTTTTTTTAAATCGACTCAGTCCTATTACTTTCCGGACAAACCCTGTACATGTCATACGAGTATAAAATCCAAAATCAAATCCAATTTTTTCGCGATTAGAATGCCTCCTCGCCAGTGGGAAGTAAAAAACGTCCACGAAGTTATCTTTAAAGAGTAGCTTCAGCAGCTAATGGACACACATGCACAGGTCTCAGCTGGTGCACTACCACGAAGCTGTCTCTACGGGTTCCTTCGCAGCCGTCGGCGTCAGTTACAACTTGCTGAGCGTCTCCGGCAACATCCCATTGGTTGTCCCGTTGCGAACGGACCTCTCTCCTATAGGAAATAGCCAATGGCCGTCCAGCGTTGTACAGACTTGCCATCTCTGTCTCCATGGGCTGGTGTTGGTTTGTGAATTCGCTTCGGCTGGAACAAATAGAGAATCTCATTTATAAAAAAACCAAAGGTGTTCTTGAAGTTGACATCTTTCTTTACACAGTAGTTCTTGTAGAAAAGAGTAAAGAAGTTGGCCGTCAAACTTGTAAAACGCAGTGGACGATTCAGGGATCTGTCTAGGGAGTGCAATCCTAGTGGCAGGATTCGAGTTCGTCTGGGAGGGGGGGGGGAGGTGATATCGACAATTGAAAGTTGAGGAGCAACGGAGATGCTTTAGTAGCACTTCTAAGGGCGTCTAATTAATGCTTGCACCAAGAGACATCAATGTGTATTTGCGCCTTGTCTAAATAATAATGATGATAATAATAATAATAATGTTTAATGTCCAAACTATAAGCAGATAACTAGAAATGACATATTTTAGAACAATAAACATGGTAGACAACCCGCAGAAGGCTAGCCTTGTATGCGGGTATGGATATTAGCTTATGATTAATTACGTACTACTTAAACTAGGAATAAAAAGACACACGTGATTTTCTAAGAAAAGAACAATAACAACATTAAAATAGGATTTCAAAATACATTATCTGACAAAGTGGGAGTATGGTTGGCTTCATTTAATTATAGATCCTCTTTAAGGCGAAATGTCTCATTTAGGGCACAAAGTCTATCTTAGGTTATTATACTCTAGGCGCTGAAGAAAGAAACTAAACCCAAACAAATACACGCATATTGCTCGTGAGTGAGTGTTTAGGCGCAGGAGACATTACAGGACCGCATCAAGATATTATGGGTAGTCATCAAAAATTTCATACAAGATAATTATTATCTTTTACAGTAAATTTCAGTTAGAGATTCACAAATGAGTTAACTACACTTTTTAGTTATTAGTAAGTAAGCTGCGCGCACTCATTCAGAAGAGGAACTTGAATCTTCTGAATCGTTTAAATGAATTATTAGAGGTTCAATTTGGGTATCGATGACATTGTCCAAATCCCACATTATGACCTCAACCTTCTCCCGAACGTGGCGGATACAGTTTTTCCATTCCTCTGCCGTAACTCTATTGACTGCGATGTGAAAGAGATTTTTAACATCAGAAAATTTATAAGTATTATTATTCGACGCCACGTATTGCTTTATGTTGGCCCAAATCAGCTCAATAGGATTCAGCTCACAATGGTAGGGTGGCAGTCTCAAGACAGTTTTATTTTGTTTTTTGGCCATTTCGTCGATCATTTTAAAATCGTATTTATATTTATGTCTATTGACTATACTTATCAATTCACCCTTTACCATTGTTTCATCAAAATCGATCTCTTTTGAGGCCAGCCATTGTTGTATGTTTGCTTTTTTAGTTGCCATTGTGGGAATTTTTTCTATTTTTCTAGAATGGTACGGGGCATTATCCAGTACAATAACAGCGTTATTCTCCAGCTTTAGTAACATTTTGGAGAACCAATTTTCAAAGGAATTGCCGTCCATCTCCTCATGATAGTCCCCTGTCTTTTTTGATTCAAAGGCCCACAGTGCTTCGGGAACAAAGCCGTCTTCACTACCTACGTGACAAATGATCAGCCGTTTGCCTTTTCCTGGAAATAAATTATTCCTTACACTATGGATTGATTAAATTTGAAGGAATGAGGCAATTGAGTTCATTTAGCTGAATTTAAGAGTCACGGAATGCTGATCAAAAACTGAAAAACGTAGAAAATTGAAGTTTGCAACTTCTCAAAACCCATTCAAAGCAAATTGACTGCACCCAAAAATGATAATAAATTTCAAAATAACGCTTAAAAGAGGGTCGAAGTTTTTTCCTAATGACTACACTGCGAATGCACCATTTTTGGAGAATATCACACATTATCTGCTATCACAGCATATTATTTGCCCGAATTTATCAAAATTAAATTGCCGGATAGATGAAGGAACTTACCTGCAGGATTTTTCAATCCAGCCGAAAGACCGTCTAGAAAAGCCTGCCTTGATGATGTTACTGATTTGTCGACCCAAACTTTCGCTTGAGTATGTCCAGCATTCACCCACGTTTCGTCCAAATAGCAAATTTTTCTTTTTTCATCGCGAAACTTCCGAATCTTCCTAAGGTATTCCCTTCTCCACACAACAATTTCTTCTTTCTCTATTAACATACTGTTTCTTCCCCGTTTCAAGAATCGAAAATTAAGTTCCTGCAAAAGTTTTCGGAATGTGGTTCTTTTAAATGATGGAAGATCCTCATCAGCATTAACTAATCTTAATATCTTATCTACTGTAGGTATCTCATTTCGGAAGAAAAAATTATGCACTTTCCTCCTGATGGCAGTTCTGTCAAAGTCATCTACTCCGTCCGTTATCCTTTTTCTTGCAGGATACGGTTTTGGCTCAGAAAGTGAGTGAGTGCTCCTATATTCCTTAATGATCCTATAAACACTGGACCGACATACTCCTTACATATAACTTCGTCCACGACCAAATCGGGTTTTTCTTGAATTTGGTTTTTGTATATATTTAATATTATTTGTTTTTCATTTGCACTTAAATGTAGCTTCTTAGCCCTTTTTTTGGGTGGGGTTGCGCTGATGTCAACCACTTCGTCGGCTGTATCTGTGTCAGACATCGTATCTTAGGCAATATATAAACAAAACGTTCCACTCGCGAAAAACGAGTATACGCTACTGAATGCGTAATGCGTATGCAATGCAATCCTGTGCGTGAATTAACTGTTAGATGCCTGTCGTGTCATCTACAATCACGTTTACAAGTCCAAACCTGTGCAGATTCGTAGAGCGCCGACGACTGCTAGTGACCTTGAATTTGTCTGTAGATCGATGTTACTCCAGTCAATTTAGGTTCAAAGTGGATGTTTTCTAAACCAATTTGTTGTTCCTACATCAAAAATATATCGATGATGTTTTGTACTGGGAGCTCATGAAAGATCAAGGTAACTTATTTTAACAGTCATCCTTTTTCTAGTCTCAAGATGACACGAAAAAGGGTCTGTGGATTCACTAGAAATACACTGCCGAGTATGTTTAGACCTAAAGTGACTGGAGTATATCCGTGGATGCTTTCGAGGGATCTGTTCACGTGCTGATCACTGTTTACGTTTAATGTCTTTCTTCAGCGCCCAGAGTTTAGTGTTTGTGTTTTCTGTTCTATGTTTGGGGGATATATCGAATATGTTGTCAAAATCTGTAAATAAGTATACCATGGATATATTGTCTAAATCGGTAGTGTTGGGTATAGGGTATTTTGTCTAATTCGGTGACTTTATTCTAGTAATTGGTTTTCATGTTAAGTGTAATCTTTTTAGGTCAGCGATTTCGCGAATTCTCTGTCTGAGCATAGATGTTATTCAGCCTTTTACTTCCCTTTTAAATGTGTGTTAGGAACGTATCATCTTCAGGTCTTCCGGAAGAAGATTGTAACATCTTGGTCCTAGGTAAGAATACGATCTGAGCATTATATTTTGTTCTGGTTTTGGCATCTTTAAATAATTCCTGTTTCTTGTTTGATAAGAATAATGGTTCTTGGTTGGGAGGACGGGATATGTGTTGCACTATCAAAACTTTTAGTAGGTATAATTATCTTATGTCTAATATACCAGTTTCTTTATAGAGATGGTCAGTTGGATACATTCGGGGCTTATGAGATATTGTCTTTAAAATACTTTTTTGAGTTATTTCTAATTTGAATATATGCTGCTTCCCATGCTATTATACCATAATTTATGTGAGATTCTGCCAATGCATGATATAGTATTTTTAATTAACAATACTCTAGTATGTTTTTAATTCTTCTTATTCGATATAGAACGGATTGCAACTTTTTGGCGACATACGTTATATGAATATCCCACCTGAGGTGTGCATCTATGTAAATTCCTAAATATTTTATACCATTTACTTTATTTATTTTACATTTACTATCCCCAGTGTTTTTATTTGTTGATAACTTATTATCAAACCAGTCCTTGATTGTACAAAGATCATTTTGTGCTACGTACTCGACAGTCGCAATTTTTACCGTATGAGTTCTATCAGAGATGTAAGATTCCAATAGGTAATATTATGTACCTCTAAATCCTATGTTTTGAAGGGTATCTAGGAGTCCAGCGCGACTAACTGTATCGAAAGCTTTTTACAAGTCAATAAAAATTCCGATGCAAGGTATACTAAGTGACATATAAATCCGAACACCCAGTTTAAATGGTTTTATTTTAATAAAAGTTGGTGAATGTATTTATCTTACTGTAAATAACAAGTGAAAAAATTTTCAGCCTTATCAGTTGGACATTCCGGTTTTTATACTGCTTTTTTTTAATTCACTAACGCTCTAAAAATGAATATTTCAGCCGCAGTAAAGAATCAACGTTGGCGGATTTTGGTTCTTGACATCCTTTACGATCGGTTACGATGCCTAGAGTACGGAGACCTGTACGATTTCGTCAACTTAGTGAGTTTGATAGGGGCCGTATAGTGGGACTTCGGGAAGCTGGACTTTCTTTTCGGGCAGTTGCAGTTAGAGTGCAAAGAAGTGTAGACACTGTGGTTAGGTGTTGTCAGGCATGGCTTCGAGAAGGCCGTACGCAAAGAGCAAGGGGCACTGGACGCCGCCGTAGAACCACAGACCGTGAAGATCGCCGCCTAAGATTATTGGCCTTAAGGGACCGCTTCTCCACTACCAGGTCCATTGCAAATGAATGGTTTGCAGAACACGGAAGACCTATTGGCATGCGAAGGGTTTACCGACGAATGAGAAGTTTTGGCTTGTTTTCATACCGGCCACACTGGGTCCTCCATTTAACTCGAGGACACCGACGTAATCGCCTTGGGTGGTGCAGACAACGGTCGCTCTGGGATCAGGAATGGAACAGTATTGTCTTTAGTGACGAGTCTCGATTTTGTTTAGGCATACACGATGGTCGTGCCAGGGTTAGAAGGCGACGTGGTGAAAGGAGGAATCCACAGTTTTTTGTTGAAAGACATGTTCATCACACTGTTGGAGTTATGGTTTGGGGTCCTATAGCTTATGGTTCCAGGTTTTATCATTTACTTATTATGCTTCATTAAGTACTTATACAAAATTTTATTAAAATAAAACCATTTAAACTGGGTGTTCGGATTTATATGTCACTTAGTATAGTTATTTATGCGATTTAACTTAGAATTTTCTCGAAGATTTTGGAGATATTATATAATAAAAAAGTGTTTCTTTTAAGATGGTCATCCGCCGAGTCCATTATAAGCGGGTTGCACTGTATTATAGATGGCTTGCAATACTCTTCAGTATCTTGTGAACATAACCTGGTAGCACCGATAGTTGACTTGTGTTAACATAGTATTTTTTTCATGTTTTTGTTTTTTTTTCACTTAATTTCCATCGCTGTATTATTTTTCCCTGTATAGTGTGGCTTTGAGCATATAAGATGCATCTAAGATTTGGACATTTCTTTGAACCAAAAGCTTCCATTTAATCATCTGAGCTCGTATAGCTTGTTCGCAGGCTTTGACGGATAGTAGTTATCATTCAAATATTATGACACCGTATATCTCCATTTTCCTCAGATGCACATAAACGCATTTTCCACCTTTTGTGTGATGTGCCGTTGTGCGCTTTTCCGCTCTCTCATCTCCAACAGAAAATTTGCCATTGTGAACGTATATTCTTCAACTGAGCCTGCCCCAGTCAGCTTGAAAGATTACTTGTCATGAGCACGCGGTAGCGGTTTGATTTATTTTTTCGTATGTTTTCTATGCAAATTCACTTGTAACAGAAACTTCGTCAGTCACTCCCGAACCTCTGAACATCGTGTCTTTACTGCATAAGTCTGGATTCCCAGTCCATTGCTTCAATTTCTGGACTGATCCGAGACTACTTTAATTTCCAATTCTTTTACCTTTTACTTGTCTTTCTATAGGAGAACCTGGCAATGTGATAGAGTCATAGCTCCATTGAAACAGTTACTTTGCACAGAGCGTTGCCTCTTCTGTTCTTCAAGTAATCCAAAAAACAGTTAATGAAAGTCAAGTTAGAAGAGACTAAATTTTATTCATAATAGGATTCCAGAAATAAAATATATAAGCACTGATGAAGAACTGAAGTAACGATGACAAATGAAAATTTAACTTTGTAAAACTAATAAAAGATCAGTTCATTGCGATGGAGTTAAAGGGAACGGTGAAAACTTAATTTACAATATCTTTAGGTTTGAATTTATTAGCAAAATTTAATGAATTTAAGAACCTCAACTCAAGAATAATGCTAATTAATCAAGGTAATGTGTAGAATCCTTAGTTAATTCGTCTAACACTGAGGCCACAATTCGAGATGTCCTCTTCAATAGTTATAAAAATTTTACATAAAATTTAGGTAAAACTAACGGTGACTGACTTCAGAAATTTGAATGTGCTTAGCAAAACTAAGCTTTGCTAGAACCACCCAGTCTTTCGTTAGTTTCACCTACTCCCCTCTAATGATAATTTCCAAACCGCATCGGTCAACGAAGGTAGAATCGTCGACAACATCCTTCCATTTCTGCTAGCCATCCTGTGACCACGAAGAGAGGGGTGATTCTAAGCAACGGCTACCCAAGAAGAATGGTAGAAGAAGCTTTGCGGGAGGATACTACAATCAGAAGAAACACGCTGGATGAACATACCATACGTAAAAGAACTGTAGTGATTATTTTGCCTTTGACATTGTTGAGTTCAGACATCAAGGTCGATACATGAGACAACCTGAAATTTCAATGGATCGAAGAATTTCAACGAAACTCAAAAAATTTCACAGGTAGTGCCCCTGGCATTGATCACTTATTTGACCTTGAAGATCGTATTGAATGTAATAACAAATACCGCATGCGTCTGTGAGAACAAGTGTTGCCATGCCTCTCTTTGATTGTTTCTACAACCCTGACTATAACTCTGGCCTTGAAAGTCATCTAAAAGCCTGCAATCATGATGGAAAAATAGCAAAACGCGCACGCACCTGCAAGAATCTGTGTTGCTATGACTGTTGCTATGACGAAGAGAGGATCTGCGTGATAAGGCGGAGTAACACCTACCTAAGGCGTTTGGAGATGTGTGATTGTGACAGCGCCGTTTGTGATCGTGGTGGCTGCGACTGCTTCCGCAGAAATGCTTGTATGTCGCCTGAAACAGAAAGAAAAGTTGTTAGAGTCAGAGTCCTCAAAACTTGGGTTTTTATGCGCCATCAATTAGGAAAATAGAAATACTATAATGTGTGTGTAGTTTCAATCTCCCACCTCAATATCTCAAAAACTAAGCATCATAGAAACGAGTTGAACCAAAACCAGAAGCGTTTTGAGGAGACAAAATGATGGTGACCTTGACAGTCACCTTGACCACGACCTTCTAGGTCATTTCAAGGTCAAATGAAAATGTGACATTAAACATTACCAACACCATGACCTTGACTGTTTTCTTCAAGGTCGTTTCAAGGTCTCGCCAAGATGTTCGACAGCACGGTTGTGAGGTTTGTAGAGATCATTCAAATGTGACCTTGATCGTTACCTTGACCATTTGGCTTGACAATGAAGGTCACGTTCGCTTTTAGGTGATCTCCACAAACCTCACAATTGTGCTGTCGAAAATGTTTGCTGAAAGAAACTGTTTTTGATGTCTTGATTTGTTCATGGTCAAGGTGACATGCGGAGGTAAGGTTTTCTCCTATTTTCAATTCTCACGTGATTAAAGGGGGTTCCGTTTGACAATATATACTTGACCTTGGACTGACCTTGGACGTCGCGGTAAAAGTCACTGTCAAGGTCACCATAATGTTGCCCACTCGAAACACTGTATGATTTGTTTGAAACTTTTTTTCTTGAATACGCAGTTTTCGAGATACTGATCATCCAACGAGGGCGAAGTGGATACATTACTATTTTTCAGGCAGAAATCTTTGCGATTCTAGCTTGTGTATCCCGCATTCTGGAGGGGGAGGGCCTAGGAGAAGAATAACAATCTTCTTCGTCAGCCAGGCTGCATTGAAGGCACTATGTGGTTGTAAGATTACTTCCAGCCTTGTATTGCAATCGCGGGAGGCTCTGGATTATCTAACAGTGAGGCATCCGGTATCGTTAGTGTTAGAACGTTAAGAAGCTGAGACTCAAGGTCATACTCAACTTTGCTAGAAGGGCGAAGCTTGTGGTTTAGGGCCCGTCTAAGTGGCGTATGCGCCGGCTCCTCACGATGGCCGGTGTGCCTCTAATTTCATAATTCATTCACTCAGCCCCAGGTTAGCAATTTAGGTTACTGAATACTTATTCATTATTCTCTTTATTTCAGTAAAGCCCAGAAGGAACGAAAAGTTATCCAGGACAATCGCATTTTCTGAAACACAACTTCCCCTCCTACCATTTCTCATTCCCCGAAACCTCATTAAGTTGTTCCATAAGGTAAAAGAAACTCTTCAGAATTGAAATTACCCTCAGGGATATATTATTACAGGTATATCCACCCTCATGTTCATGCTTGTACTAAGCCAGACATTGCATTCTCGTGAAATTTTAAGGGCAACATAAGTGATACTTATGAGTTTTTAATGAGTCTAATATGCAATATCAGCAAGCAGTTAATAAGTCGACAGTGACTGTACTCTGCGATAATACAATATTAAATAGGAAGTCACGGAAATTGTTTGTTTCACACGTGTCCCCAAAACGCGTTAGGCTGGGTGCATACATTCGTTTTCCGGTTTCCTAATCAGGAATTCCAATTCAGAATTCCGTGAGCCTTGCACAAACGTTCAATTTTTTGGAGTTAATATTATACTACTACATGGAGATCGACGATTTAATTGCGATTGCACTTCTATTATCATTAACAAAAAAAAAGAAACGTCGGGATTGGGTGCATCCGTTAAACACTATACGAGAATCCATTTTATCTAAAAAGAGCAAAGTTACCAGCACATAAATTCTTTCATTTCTACACGATGTCAATACAATCTCGATCAACTTCATAATGGCATACGTGATAAATTGAGGAAGCAAGATACCTGGATGAGACTATCTCTGGATACACAACATAGATCTACAAACCGAGGCCGAAGCATAAGGGACGAGTTTGCTCAGTACTTCATGAGCCGGCAGGAGAAATATCATATCTATATAACGGAAGGATTACCAATTTACAACAATAAAAGTACAGTCTTTGTAATAAAAGTGAAAGAAAAGCAATTTTACTCTTGTATTCTGTTTCTACCTTTGTGCACGAGTTGCAATCCTGTATAACCTGTTTGAAAACTTTTGACGCCATTTGGTAATTCAATAACTCTATTTCTCAGTTTTCTTTAAATGCAACTGTGTACAGAGTCACATTTCATTTGGGTGTGTCGTTTGGTGAGATACTTCTGAGAAATCACATCGACGTGTTTCATTGCAAAGTTAAGAAAAATAGCACGCGTAATTGTCAGATAGCTAGAATTGTCGCTCATTGACAGACGTGTTGCCACTGGTAGGTATTGTTTTGGCTGAATAATTCAAAAACTAAATTTTTCTGCAGTTAGCGGACTCTATCACAATGTGCGCTGTAGGTAGACGAAGAAAAATGTGCATATACCTCAAATTGGGTTAAAATGTCAGACAGCAGATACTGTCAGATGTCCGACGATAAGATATAAAAGTGAATAAGAAAGGTAACAGTTGAAATTGACATATTGGTTATCTCAGTTATGACTATCATAGGCCGTATTGTCAGAATTACACATATTTGTCGTTTATCAGGTTATCTGAGAAGTACTCACCAAACAGTAATATACTTTACTTTTCATTAGCGCCTCAAGTTCACCTTTGAAAATACGATCGGGGGTAGAACTCAACAATTAGTCGAAACCGGTTGTAGAATACTGTGTTTTGGAAGTTAGCAACATAGGGATAATTTGGAACTCAGACTTCCTGTAGGCCATCAATAGATTCTTAAGTATAGCAAATTCCTGTTTTAGGTAAATGAGTTGATTTTTTGTAGCCTATTGTAGCGAGCGCACTAGACAGTTGACAACAGATTCCATCATCTACGCAACATGATACACCCAAGACGCGAATTTTGGGGGAGATCGGAGATATGAATTATCAAATGTTTCCATTAATTAAAAATATACCAAATACATGACATAAAAAATGCAACACCGACTAGGAGTGCTGTAATTTGGAGCGCACTTTTACAAGTTTTAGGTCTTCTGATTAGGGGAAAAGTAGGTAATATGCCCCAGTTGACAAAATGCCCCACTAGCGTTTCACTGAAACAAGCACACTTTTTCGGCACAATGCGGCATCCGCGCATCGATGAAAGTCTGCCGGCAACATGGTTTATGTTCCTACACGCGTGCTGTAGCTTGTTAAAAAAATATTGCAAAGGATAGTTTTTCAGTGGTCGGACAATTTGTGGTAAGTTCCAAACAAATTTATATATCGTTAATACTATTTGTTTTATTCCAAACTTATATGCACCATGTTAAAACATATAAAATTGGCTTCATGCTCTGTGTGTGTCAAACAACATAACCTAAAATTCCTTTCTTGCATCAGAGTGGGGCGTTTTAGACACCATATTTTACAATATGCCCCATTGTATGGTTTATAATTCGCCCCACCATTAAAAACGCAAATATTATTCATGGTTCTTATGTTTTCCAGAATATGTCACGAAAATATGAACGGAAGTCACTACGAGCGTCATGGGCAGCTGAAGATTTGGAAGAGGCGATGCAGCAAGTCCGGGGAAAAATTATGGGCATTAATGAGGCTTCCAGACGTTTTGGAATACCATCCAGAACATTGAGAAGACACCTTATAACGGGAAAATCAAAGGTCCCCCTTGGCCGCAACCCTGTATTTTCAGTTGAATATGAAAGAAAACTTGTAGCACATATACAAAAATTGGAAAAAGTTGGTTTTGCACCAGACAGAAATGATGTGAGGGAAATGGCTTTCCAGTTAGCAAAAAAACTTGACATCAAACATACATTTTCTGAAAGGTCGGGATCAGCTGGTAGGGTGTGATTTACTGGATTTATGAAAAGAAATCCAGAACTAACTCAAAGAAATCAGAAGGCTTATCACTTGCACGAGCATATGGAGTAAACAGAAAAGACATTCAATATTTTTATGACCTTTTGGCCAAAATTTACGAAGAAAATGACTTTGCATCTCATCCTGAAGATATACATATATAACATGGATGAGACAGGGATTCAGGTTAATAACAAGCCAGGAAAAGTAGTGGCAACAAAAGGGGTCAAAGATGTATATACTCTCACAAGTTGTGAAAAAGGTGAAAATGTGACAGTTATAGCATGTTGCAATGCTGGAGGTAATTTCATGCCTCCTACATTAATATATAAGGGAACTTACACTAAGCCCCAGTTTTCTGAAGGGCTTCCACCAGGATCACGAGTCCTTATGAATAAAAAATCATCCTATATTAACTCGGACTTGTTCATGCAGTGGTTTGAAGAAGTATTTTTACGACACAAAGGTCCTCGAACGACTTTATTAATATTAGATGGTCACAGTTCGCATAGTAACAATATTCGGGTACTAGAAGTAGCCAAAGAAAATAATGTGATACTGTTATGCCTACCAAGCCACACAACGCATGTACTTCAGCCTCTTGACAAGGCCTTTTTTAGGCCACTCAAAATGTTTTTTGCACAAGAAGCTAAATCTTGGATGGTACAAAATAGAGAAAAGAAGTTGACGCGCTATGATGTCTCAAAACTGATTGGCAAGGCTTGGGGTAAGGCCGCCACTGTATCCAATGGTGTTTCAGCGTTGAAGTGCTGCGGTATCTATCCATTTGATCCCCATGGTGTTGCAGACTATCATTTCTCATTATCAGATTCGCTACAAGAGCAAAATTTAGTTGACATTGACGAAGTCAACAATCAAAGTACAAGAAGTACTGATGAGAGTCTTACAGGAAATACTGCACCAGCAACTGAGATTCTGTCACAGCCAGGAACGTCAGGTCTCCACAGTACTCCAGTCTCCCTACATGTTGACGAATCTGTGAATACGCCGCAAAAGCACCCACAAAATGATGCATCCCAACAAGTAGGCATTTGTGATAAAACGCCTGAAGAAGCCATTCCATCTTCTGATGTAAAAGACAAAGAAACGCCTTCCAAAGTT